TGGAAATACTAAAACTTAAGTAATTAACCTAATTCTGGTTATCTAAAGGGTCATGGTCCCCTTCGAGAGCACACACACGAACGTAAGTATCGGTCCCGTTCCTTTCTTTCTATCCCCATCAAGAGAGAAAATCAAGAGGGAAATACGAGTGCTCTTCGGGTGGAAGACCATAAGATCAATATAGTGTTCTACAAAGACATCATCGTTATGACTAATCCAGGTACGCTTTCGCATTCAGTTTACAGCATGTTTATCAGTATGAGATTATGTTTATGTTTGATTGTTAGAATCAAAATCAGGATTATTATTATTATTATTGTTTTTCCAACAATTGGTATCAGAGTCGCTCATATTTGATTCATGTCTGTTTAATTTATAGAACCCTAATTATGAAAATTAGGATTAATTTTGTTTTAAACAATTCAGATTACCCAATTTTATGAACCCTAAGTGGAGGATAATCTCTAATTTTCGTGAACCCTAAAATTTAAATTTGGGGGGTAACATCCTCAATCTGATTTTGCTTGCTGATGGAACCGTGGAGGAAGCTATGGATTCTTCTTCTTCTTCGTTTTTCACTTTTGTTTCAGTTTAAGTTTCAAGTTTTACAGAGAAAGAAACAGTGTTTCATATTTCAATTTTTCTTGTATTGGGTTCTCTGTTCTTTTTTGAATCTTTTGTTTTTATTTAATTTTATGGGTTTAGAATTGGGGGTGATGTTTGTGGAGTTCCCAACACAGAGAATCTTAGGTAAATGATGAATGTTTCCACATGTTTGGCTGTTATTATTTTATTGCCTCTATCCCCTAGGAATTTAAGAAAAATTTGATGTTAAATTAGGGTCTGAGTGATTACTGTTTAATTCCCTTTTAGGGTTTAGAGCAGTATGCTAAAGAGACTCAGAACTATCTCTGTTTCATCCCTAGTGTGATTTTAGGAAGATGTTCATCCTTTATGTATTGGTGGAAAATGAGGCCTTTTTTCATCCTTTGATTTGTTCAAATGAGGTGTTCATCCCTAATGAGATTCTAGGGAGGTGTTCATCCTTAGTAGAATTCTGATGAGATTATTCTCTTTTGAATTAGTTTGCAAATATTAAATATTTGGTTTTGTTATATAAATAAAATATTCAATTTTTGGTAGTTTAATATTTTTTGTGAGCAAATTGAGTCAAGAAGTCACCAAAGTAACTTCTCTTGAATTGGGCAGTTCATAAAAAATATTGAATGTTAGTGTTTGTGTATATTCATGCAAGTATTAGTCGGCCCAAAGGAAGATTAATATTTGGCCGAATTGCATATACACTTGTAATGATAAACATGTGATAATTATAAGGATTTGCTTTGTCGATGATAAATCAATCCAAAGACTGGTTTGTTGTTGGACGTGTTTTATTGTTAATGTTTGATTATTACAACAAGATACCTCTAGCAGTTAATATTACTTGTCCAAAGACTTGATATTGATGGTGCATTGGGTGTCTTGAGATGGGTTAAACCATTATTTGAATATATATTTTATTTATAATTTTTTTATATAATGTGAGCATAATTAGTTTATTTCTTTTGTTCTAATCCAGCTATAATTGCTTACGTATCTCGCCAATTTAAATTATGTTCTGATCCTCAAAAGTATGTTTCCTACTTTGGTCCGTTCGAAGTCAATTTAGCGTCAGTACCTAGTAACACTTGGTGGTTAGACTCAGATGCAACTACTAACATCAGTGTTTCTATAAAGGGTTGCCTAAGCTACCGGAAGCCAATTGATTCTGAAAAATGGATTTATGTTGGAGATGGCAAATCGGTAGAGGTGGAAGCTATAAGTCATTTTAAATTATTATTAAGTACTGATTTTTTATTTGGATTTGAAAGACACTTTTGTTATGCCGTCATTTAGACGGAATTTGGTTTTAGTTTCTTATTTGGACAAATTAGGTTATTTATGTTCATTTGGAAACAAAAAGTTCAGTTTGTCTTTTAATTCAGATATTGTTAGAACTGGTTCACTTTTAATTTATGATAATCAGTATTTACTTGATATTGTGGCCACCTATAATGAAACCCTTAATACAGAATCATGTGGTACTAAACGTAAAATTGAAAATACTCACTCAAGTGCATTATGGCACAAGTGCTCAGGTAACATCAAATTGTAACGTTTGGGCTTGTGTTACACTCTTAAAGATATGGTAGAGAGTATGATTTGTCATTCCACCTTACTTGGAATCACTTTGGGGAGAGACACTAAATATGACAGACTTATATTCTAAACGAGTACCAACTAAAGCAGCTACCAAAACATCTTATGAGCTTTGGATCGGGCGACAACCTAGTCCGAAGCATTTCCATGTGTGGGGTTGTCCAGCTGAGGCAAGACCTTATAAGTCAAATGAAAAGAAATTGGACTCCCGAACAGTAAGTAGTTATTTTATTGGTTATGCTGAAAGATCCAGGGGATATAAATTTTATGATCCCACATTAAAGACAATTTTTGAGACGGGAACTGCTACGTTTTTTGAGGATATTGAGTTTGGGGGGAAGAATAAAATCAGGAACTTTGTCTTAGAGGAAGAATCGGTAACAATTCCAGAACCGATTCAAACGAGTTACTTTTGATAAAGTAAGTTCGGAACCTCCACAATGCATTGTTAATGAACCCCTTACTCAAGATGATTTGGTTGTTCATGAAGAACAAACTCAAGATCCTCAAGAACCTGTGCATCATGAGCCAATAACTTTGCAGAGATCCACTAGAGAAAGAAGAAGTGCTATTTCGGATGATTACATGGTATTTCTTCAGGAACATGAAGATAATAATGGTATGATGGAAGATGACCCAGTTAACTTCCGTCAAGCCATGCAAGGTTCTAACTCTGAAAAGTGGATTGAAGCAATGAAGGAGAAGTATAAGTCCATGCAAGACAATAAGGTTATTGGGAACTTGTCCCATTACTAGAAGGTATGAAACTCATTTGGCTTCAAGATGAATATTGTTGATGATTGTATGTATCACAAGTTTAAAGGGAGACAAGTTTAGTCTTAATCGAGTGCCCAAAGGGAATTTGGAAATTGAGGAAATGCAAAAGATTCCCTATGCATCAAGCTGTAGGGAGTTTGATGTATGCCCAAGTATGTACGCGTCCGAGACATAGCATACATAGTTGGGGTTCTAGGCGAGATATTTAAGCAATCCAGGAATAGACCATTGAAAAGCGACAAAAAGGGTCATAAGATATTTAAAGAGAACAAAAGATTATATGCTCACATATAGGATGTCAGACCAATTGGAGATCAGTTGGATTTTCCGACTCATATTTTGCGGGATGTCAAGAATTTGTAGCATGCTATGAGGCATCAAATCATGGAATATGGTCGAGAAATTTTGTCACAGAGCTGCAAATTGTGAAAGGCATTGAAAGACCACTTAAGTTATATTGTGACAATAAATCAGCTTGTATTGTTAAGGAAAGAGTACAAAGTGGACATGATTTCCATAGAACACTTAAGGACAAACTCCATGATAGCATATCCTCTAACTAAAGGACTTCGCCCAAGGTCTTTCATGAGCATGTTGCTCACATGGGTGTTTTACAGTTTGAGGAATTTGTGGTTTAGTGGGAGTTAGTCATTTTCATATATTTTATGTTCTATGTTTAATTTTATATATGTATACATTGTTTTTTGGACATATTTGGTTATCTATAGATATGCGGTTTTCTTGTTCATTCATTACACTTTGTACATTAAGGATATTATATCGATCTCGATAAGTTAAAGTTTGGACCAGTTGAAAATAGACGTGTACAGATCACCTTCACGTAATTTTTCATGTTACACATTTCATGATGAATCCATGTCATTTGGTTATATTAGGATGAGTAATCATTGTTGGTTTTAATTGCGATGATGCAATGAAAAGCTGGTTTGGTTCTATATCCTAATATGATTAATGGACAGGACTTTTGGAGTATGCTAAAGGAATATAATGGCAATTTTGAGCTCATAAAGTCTAACACATTTGTAAGGTTGTAAGGACATATATATTTGTGACCGAGTGGGAGATTGTTGGAAAAATTTGGGTCATGTATATATATGATACATAATTTAAATGTATTAGGGCCATTATTTATTAAGCCAAATAATAAAGTGATCTGACTAAATTAAAGTTTTGGCTAAAAGCATATGTCATGAAAATAAAATTGTGTAGAGACCATAGAGCAATTTCTAATTTGATGAGGGGCCAAATTGGAAATACTAAAACTTAAGTAATTAACCTAATTCTGGTTATCTAAAGGGTCATGGTCCCCTTCGAGAGCACACACACGAACGTAAGTATCGAGTCTCGTTCCTTTCTTTCTATCCCCATCAAGAGAGAAAATCAAGAGGGAAATACATGTGCTTCTTCGAGTGGAAGACCATAAGATCAATATAGTGTTCTACAAAGACATCATCGTTATGACAAATTCGAGTACGCTTTCGCATTCAGTTTACAACATGTTTATCAGTATGTGATTATGTTTATGTTTGATTGTTAGAATCAAAATCGGGATTATTATTATTATTATTGTTTTTCCAACAATTATTAACATTTATGTAAAATATTTAGAAAAAATAAAGAAGAAAAAAATTAATTTTGTATTCATCAAATTAGTTGAAAAGATAAAAAAAAATTGATTGGAGAGATTGAAGAAATATGAAAAACTAAAAGATAAGAAAAAGAGAATAATATAATAAATTAATTGATACAAAAAATTAAAAAAGACAAAAGAAATAAAAAAGTAAGTAGAAAAAAATAAAAATGATAAAATATAAAAATATAATTTTATATATAATAAAAAAATACTTTTCAAATATTAATATTTTAAAATTTAAATTTAAATATAAAGTAAAAAAAAATATAAAACAAAGAAAACCTGAATTGGTTTCCGATTCTAATCAATTTAATTTTTTCATATGAAACTCGAGACCGAACGAATTGATTCTCAGTTTAATTGTCACAGTCTAGAGGTTGGTGGTGAATGATATGGAGGAGGCGCAAGGCCAGTGACACATGATGCTACGGGTGGAGTCGCTGACGCCACATGATGAGGCACACGAAGTTGTGGAGGATGCATTGACAACACGATGCTGCGGAGAAGACAATGGGACACACAATGTTCTGGAACAGCGCACGCAGTACGCAAAGTTATAAAAGGCACTGTAACAGATTTTAATTATGTTGGTTTAAGAGATTAAATAATATATTATTAATAAATAATAAATAAATATAGAAAAATAAAAATATAAAAAGTAAAGATATTAAGTTTATAAATATAAATAAATATATTTAATAATTATTTAAATTTGTGGATATTAAAATTATAAATATTAATATAAATTAAAAATAATAATTAAATTTAAATGAATCAAAATAATAAATATTAATATAAATTATAAAAAATTTGAAAGATGAAGACATCTTTCATTTCTATAAATTCTGTCACTGAAAAAAAGGTATTAACACACAAAGTTTGTAGAGGACGTTGACTCAAAAGGAGTGATTGAAAAGTAGAAATGAATATCAAAGAAAAAGATTTAGATGAGAAATTTCATTAATTCCGAGAAATTTCATTAATTCTGAGAAATTTATATACATCTCATTTTAATTACTTCTAATTGAATTACTTTCATTTTTCAAATGTTTTTTAAGATAAATCAATTCAAATATGTTATATAATTTTCTTGATTGGATGAAGTAATTAAATTTATTCTAAAATAAAATTTTATTTTAAAATATAAAATTCTAATATTAAATATTACAAAAATAAATATTATTCAATTTTAAGTATTTAAAGAATATTTAATAATAAAATTTATATTAAGTAAAATTTAATAATTAAAAAAATATATAAATATTTTTTAAATCACTTTTATAAAATAAATGTAGTATTATATTACTAAAATAAATATATATTTTTTATGAGAGTGTAATGTACGAGTGATTCGCGGGAGAGGAAGTAAGGTGGGTGACTTTCCCTGTGATTAAAATTTTAAATTCTTTATTTTTAGGGTATTTTAAATTTTTCTATTTTAGTGGTTTGAATTTTCTTTTAAAAGTTAGGGAATTTCATTTTTTTTACCCAAATAACTCACTTTAAGGAAATCCAAATTCATCAAATAATGAATTACCCCTTCAATTACCTCGTCCAAATACAACATTGGGGTTTTTCTTTAGATGCAATGTACCGACGAGAAAGAAGGTTGAAAATTTTAAGTAAATGATATTATAGATTATTGAAGCAAATAATGTTAGTATATGAGATATTATATTAATTGTATGTATATCTATGTAATATATTTTTTAATATTTACAAAATTATTATCACGTATTATATTATATTATATTAAATAATAAATTTTGTAAAAATACCCGTATTATCATTAGTTAGAATTTAAGGTGAATTTTCAAACTTCTTAGATATATAGGTTTTGTCTACCATAGAATAAGAAATACTTTTTATAATAGTTATTTTATATTATTTATGTCGGTTCCATTATTGATATAAATTCAAGCGACATAAAAAAAATGTACTTTTTTATATTGAGTGTTAAATTGATATAGTAAATAACCATTAATTTTATATTGATTCTTAATATAATCATTGTGTTAAATTTTTTTATATACAATCATATTTCTTACAAACATTTTATTAAACAGTTTTAATACAATAATAAATTTTAAAAATTAAACACTAATATTATTTATATATGAAAAATAATTAAACATATAATGTAGATAATTTTACTTAAGTTTGATGAAAATCATTCACACAAGAAAAAAATCATAATAACAATTATAATCTAATATATATTAGAATACTCTATTAAATCAAATAATGGAATACAAACTAATACAGGAAAATAAGATAATGTTTTCATATATTATCTTTGTTGTCAATGAGGAAGAAACAAGATTTTGTAGGAAGTAGTGATATAAGCATGAGAAAGATAAAAGTAGATGAATGTGAAAAGAAACCGTGATGGAACTTCTTGAGAAATGAGGGGTCATTATCCCAAAAGTTTTATAATTTACATTAACATTTATGATTTTAACCCTCAAACTTAATAATTATTAATATATTTATAAATTTGACCTCTTACCCTTTCATATTCATTCGCTATTTTATATTTATTTATTATTTATTAATAATATATTATTTGATCCTCTCAAGATCAATGGTCAAGATCACATTACTGATAATGAAACAAAGAAAAATGAGTGAAATTCTCTTATGTGGACCGGAACAAAAAAGGAAAATGAGAAGGATGAAGAAGATAAAACGAATATAAAAAATTTGAATCTAAATAATTTTTATGATGGTTCAATTTTAAATTGCTATAGAAAGTATTTTTTATATCGGGTTCAATTTTGCACGGTTATAAAGTCATAGTAAGTACTTATTATGATGGTTCAATTTTTAACAATATAGAAAATTATTCATATTTTAAATTGATAAAGTCATTTTTTATGGTGGTTCAAAATTGAACTATTATAATAAATATTTATTATGATTGTTCAAAATTAAATTAACATACAAAAAATTTCAAGTTTATAATTTACAAAATTATTTACTGCGATGATTCAAAATTAAATCTGACATAAAATATATTTATTAGGAGGGTTCAATTTTAAATAACCATACAAACTAATTTTAATGTAGATTTAAATTTAAACTATCATAAAAAAAAGTAAGTTTTAATAAGAAAATTTTCATCAAAAGTAAATTAAAACTCTCGTAATTATATTAATATATGGTGACTTTTTTTTTCTTTCAAATCCTTCGGTCAGTAAGCAACTCAAAATTGTAAAACAAATAAATAAATCATATTTTATTTTCATAATAATCAAATTTAAAACACAGTTGAAGCTAGAATTATTAGTAGAGTTATCATAGACATAAAAGTTCTTTCTTTAAATATTAATAATATAACTACATATTTACTTGTGCTTACGTTTATTTTGATTTTATTTTTCATGTTCAGAAGTTATCATGAAGAAGTTTCTCTATACAGGCATATGTAACCGAAACTCGAAATTGAAATTACAGGTTGAACAATCCGTTGATTCCTTATTTTTAACCTTTTCCTCCATGTTTGATGATTTTAGCAACTTACTTTAGATCCCATTCATGTGGTCATAAGTAGCACACAACTTGCATGCACAGAAAAGAACTGGGGTTTGGGAAAACGACTTTTTGGATGAGTGTGAAAGGGATCCGAGTGAGAGATGATGCACAAAATTAAACAAATTAAGGCTTAAAAAGTGCACATTGAAAGAAAGAAAAAAAAAAAAAAAAAAGCATCTCGGACTGACAAAGTGAACACCATGTCAGGGTTATTGATAACTCGTGTACGTGACAACCAAGGCCCAGCCAACCATGTTTCCATTTGTCATTATCACATCATGTTTGTGGCGAGAGAAAGAGAAAAAACAAACATTTTAAACATCATTCATTATTTGATTTTATCAAGTACGTACATGCCTAGCTACTAGAACTATGAGTGTTTTGAATCATTTTTAATTTCAAGGTTTCGTCAAATATAACCAAGCATGATAAAAAATAGTGACAATCAAATTTGAAAGTGGAGTAAATTCAGTGAAATGGGCTTTTAACCTAAAATCTATGGATCCAATCCAACACATAAATAAGAAGAGAAAAGTTGTGTTCTTTCTGGTACTTTCACGTGGAACCTAAAGATATTTTTTATTGATGGATTGGAACTTTGTGATTTTCTTTTTCTTGGGGTGCTTTCAAATGTGGACCTGTTTACAGAGACAGAGAGATCTGATAAAGAGATTTGGTTCTATGCATTGATTAGACAAGTAACAATATACTAACATGAAGTCATTGAGTTGTTTGCCCAATGGGATTACTCAGTTTTAAATTCCTAAACTCACTCATTGCCCTTTAAGGTGGGGTTAGGACTTTTGCTAATCAAAGTTGCCAAAAATGACTTGCGAATATGGTAACAATAATTAGTATTATATATGTGTGCAAAAGCCAAAGTTATGTACCTAATCCAATACTTTAACTTAGAGATTAGATCCACCATAATGATAATAATAATAATAATGTAGCTCCATATATACGAAATACCACTATCAAGGGCAATAGAGGGACTCCACATCAACTTCCTCTTTTCATTGTCGGCCATTTTGTCTCTTCTGCCACACTCTAGGACTCACCACACAGGATCTTCCTATACTTTCTCTTACCACCTTCAAAATATTTTATTACTTGGGGACCATTGGTTTCAAAGAGAGCAACAACTTCGGAAGGAAAGCAAAATACTAGGTTGTGTTGACAACTATTTACTTCTTTAAAAGTATTTGAATGTTTGTTCTCTTAAGGGGTCAATGTATGTTACAAGGATCAAAAGTAACATTAGAAATGGATTTTTTATGCATATAATTCATCAATCTCTTCAATTTTTGTTAGTACCACCCAAAAGATAAATAAAATAATAAAACCATATCTTGACCACCACTTCTAAATAAACTTACTCAAATTTAAAACTTTTATGTTTATTATTGTTATTATGTGACTAAATAAAAGTTGTATGGTAGATATTAGGGAAAATTGGGATGCATGTATATCATTTATAAAATAAAAATACAATAAACTCAAACTGCGTTTGAATAATTTTACCTTGAGTAAACAATTAAATTTCTGTTTAAAACAAAAATATCAATGTCTAAAAATAATTACTTTATATGCACTTATTTTATTATCTAATTGTAAAGATAATTATTAGATTTAATTGCACACATTTTGGTATAAATGCATGAACTATTTTGTAACTAGAAATGAAAAGGGAAGAACCTAATTGATTCATGAGAAAGTTGGGAGGAAAGAAAAGATGCAAAGGGACAATCCTGCAACAACTGGGGACACAGTGGCTTTGTTGATGGACTTTCAAGTACTAAGGAAAGTTTTGTTTGGTGACTTTGGAATACATGGACAATGTTTGGTTTTGTCTCCTATGTGAATGTGAGTGAACATATGAGTATGATATCACGTGAGTAAGGTTCATTTCAGGCGCGCGTGATCCTTTCACTCCACAATTTTCTTCTTGTCTTTATTTTGCCCCAACCCAAACTCCAATCTCCAAACGCTACCTCATCGCTGTTTCAAATACTAACAAACCAATCTTTCCATGACAGTTAGTATAAAGGGGTTCTCAGATTTGAAGTTTGATTTTCCATAACTAGTATATTGAAAAGCTTTCGTAACAGAGAAAAAAAGATTAATAAATTAATAAAAAATAACTTTTACAAATTAATTCTTATATAAAATTCTTTTGGATGTTGAGGTGTGTCTTAAAACATTCTTTTGAATCTTGAGGTGCGTGTTAACATTCTTTGTGATGAGCATAGGTTCACTCCAAACCATACATACACTTCATGCAGATACATTTCCTTCACACGACACCATGGCCCACTGTATTAAAGTACAAAGCGATTGGATGCGACTCTACACATCCAAACCACATGCCTTGTACAGGACTCTCAAAAACAAAGTCAGAGAACGAGTAAACCCCACCAATTTTCCTCCTGAAAATCGATGCTACAACCACCCTAGAGAAATGTTATATATACCTCCCTTTCACTTTTTAATTAGTCTTGTTATAAATTTAATTATCCATGGCCAACCTGTTTAAAATGTAATGAATGTTCTTAGTACTTCTCTGTTTTATCTTTTAACAACACAAACACTTCATTTTATAATGTTTTGAAAAATTATATTTGTGGACCCCTTTTATGAGTGCAAGAGGTGAAGAAAAGGGAGATACAAATAAGACAAGAAGAACAAGAAAACAAAAAAAAATATGAAAGATGTATTAAGGTAACATGAGATAATTAAAAATAGAGAGAAAAATAGGATGAAAGAGATGTGAAAATACTATATAGATGTAGAACCATCATTGTTTGTTGTGATGTTAATTATAACCAAAATGAAGCATTTCTCTCTTTTTAGAGATTAGTTTATTTAAGTAAAGGATGCATGATTTTTTTTAAATTTTGAGTATTAAAAATAAAAAGAAAAGATAATTGATATAATTTATTAATCCCATTATAGTATGAACATTTCTAATCCAAATAGGATTGCTTATAGTGTGCATTGATAGAGTAGACATAAAAAAATAAAAGCAAAAAGCAAGTGTCTCTCTCCAATATATACTACTTTTTATCCATTTAAAGTGTGAAGGATCAACAAATTAAAATTCCTAAACCTACCAAACAAGGGGACTGGAAAGTACTCTGCAAGCTGAAATGGAAGGAGTAAGCAAGAAGGAGCCATACTTTTGTGACAGACCTAGCATCTTCTCTTCTGCTCCAGAGGCACCCCCTAGTCCAAGTACTCCACTTCAGCATCCACGTGAAAAGAAACAGCTATCTGTTGATGAAGAAGAGGAAGAAAATAAGGAGCCAAGGCAAGTTACCCTATTAGATCTAAATGTCTCAGGTGATGATTCTTGTACTCCAGAAGGACTAGAACTCAACCTCATAACCTGTTTGGATGTGGGGTCATTATCAAATGCCAATTCTTCATCAGAAACCCCTCTTGGTTCTTGTGCAGCTGAACCAAGAGTGTTCTCTTGCAACTACTGTCACAGAAAGTTCTACAGTTCACAAGCGCTGGGGGGTCACCAAAATGCACACAAGAGGGAGAGGTCAATAGCAAAGAGAGGGCACAGGTTTGGATCACAGATAATGGCCTTTGGCCTTCCCTTATTGCATAATAACAACCACTATGCTAGCTTGGCTTCTCTACCCCTCTATGGTGCTTGCAACAATAGAGGAGGAGCTCTTGGAATTCAAGCACACTCCATGATCCAGAAGCCTTCTCATCATCATCATGCGAGTGGATTTGGAAGCTCTTATGCACACCATCACGGTTGGTCAAGACCCATCATTGACCAACAACCGGGAATAGCAAAACTAGCTGTGGCTGATTTTCACAGAACAAAATCAGCATTTTCGTCATCACAAACAAGTGTTGGTAGGTTTGAAATGGTTAATACCATGATGAATTCTTCAGCCAATAAGGAAAGCAGTGGATGTGTGGCAAGTGGTGAAACTCGTTTGAAGGGTAATCAAGAAGAAATGAAGCACCTTGATTTATCCCTCAAGCTCTAGTCCAAAGTTTAGCACCACAGCAATTTTAGGTGCAACTTCAAGATTTTTGAACTCTCAGCAACCATCATGGCCACAACGGTGATTGTATTTGTCTACAATTTCAAGATCCGGCCACTCCACGACTCCGAACATTATTGGTTTGGCTTACTTTATATATATATATATATATATATATATATATATATATATATAGTCTTTGCATCGATGATGATGATGAGTAATTGTAGATTAGTATAGTTAAGATTTTGCCAATCTTATTTTTCCCAGTGTGAAATAACAATATTTGTGTAAATTAGTTTATGAGAGGATAAAAGTTCTTTTCTTGTAAACGACTTCAGAATCATTCAACTCCAGTTAGTGCTTTTATTGAGTTGAAATTTTAAAGTTTGTTGAAGATTTCTTTTCTTCCCCTACTCTGTGTATAGATTAAAGTAAATGTAACGAGGGGTTTTTTTTTTTTTTTTTCCAAGATCCTATAACTCTTGTGGATTAGTATCAAGATTTAATAGAATGTGTGATGACTATTTTCATTTTCATGTAGCACAATTTGAAACTTAATAATAAATGGAAATTAATATGGAATATTGGTTCGTTTGGAGGATTACAAATTCAAGTGTGATACTTCATGCTCCATGAGAATGTGTACACATCACCAACACTTTTTATGTCTTTGTTTTGAAAACATAGTCCGGATGAATAATTAGTATTTATAGACTCATATAGATAGATAATTTCAACCTCCTTACTGGGTGATCAATTTTGTTGACTAAGGATTTTACATTAAAGGTCTTGTATGCCAAAGTATTCCTATGATAGTGGGTATATTAACCACCCATAGTTGGAGTCTGTTAAGCTTCATGTATCGTAAATATAGTCTATAAAAAGTATTATATGTAGTGTACACGATACCTTAATATAAATCATCAATAGGTCAAGACCCATGATTTTCCCATTTTTGAGCCAACCTCAAAAGTCAGTCTAGTTCACACTAAGATTTGCAACAGTAGTGCAATTGGTAAATGGCTAGGTCATCTACCTTATGCTTTGTTTGGTTGGAGTGATTTGAGAGAGTGGAAATGAGAGAGTGGAAAAGGAGGGATTTAAAGAGAAATGGAGATAAAGTTAAAGTTGTTTGGATGAATGGAAAGTGATAAGAAAGTTTATGGGAAATTGTGAATGATTTGATTGATATGAGATATAAAAATTATAAATTTAATTGATTATTTAAAAAAATTATCATTTTACCATTTGTATAAAATAAGGTTCAAATGATTATAAATATAATTTTTTAATTAATTATCCATATTTTAACATTGATTATATATTTAAAAGAAAAAACAAATTTAAAAGTGTTTGTAATTGGAAACAAATTTAAAAAATTAACTTTTTTTAGATAGTTATTAAAAATTATATAAATAAACAATTACAAAATTATGTACATTGCATATCCATATTCAAATAATGTTGACATATTAAAAAATAAATTTTACTAATAATTAAATAATTATAAAATATAAAATAATAATTAATATTGATCTGATAATAACAAATAATTATGAAAACTAATAATATAATTGTACATTATTATTTAAAACAAATATAAAATACAGTGAAAATAGAATAATAATTAAAGGAAAGATTACTAAAATTATAAATCTATGCACACTAATGTTCTTCAAACAAATAATTATAATGTTATCCATCTTTTGCGATCAAGTCCTCCAGGTTCAGATCATTCAATCACCTCCATTCAAGAACATGAACAACTCGGGAGAGACGAAGATGTGAGGGCAAGCCAAAAAGTCGTCTAACATGTGATGGGTGAGTACACAAATGATTATAACACTCGAAGCATAAGTTGCTCGTCATTTAGGTTCATGCCGACTAACATGTCCCATATATCTGACTCCGAATGTTGAAATGTTGATGATCGTCTCATCACATTAACTTGCTCATTAATTAAATCATTTCTGCGTTCAATGGCGACCACCTGTCTTTCAGCTATGTCAGATAATCGTTGGGTGATTGTATTACCTTGCCCGAGGTAATCTGTAAATAGGGATGGCAAAACGGGCTAGGCCCGGCGGGCCGGCCCGCCAGCCCGCCATAATATGGCGGGGCGGGTTGGTGTTTTCAGCCCATCAGCCCGCTTTGGCCCGCCCCGCCAAGCCCGCCAACCCGTCGGGCCAATCCGTGAGACGGGCGGGCCAGCCCATGGCCTGCCTAATTAATAAAAAAATAATTTTTTATTGTAATAAAATTAATTATAAAGATAATATATAAAGTTAAAAATTTTAAAAAGAGAATTAAAAAGTTTCATTCTCACGGAAAATATTCTCCTTCCTAAAACATAACATTCTCTTCTCGTTCTCCTTGTTTATCCTAAGCACTGATTATTTTTATCCTTATTACTTGAATTAAAGGTGTAAGAATTACTCAACCAAGAATAATATGAAGTTTTATGAAATAAAAAAGATATAGGTATTTGAATTTTTCAATATAAAAAATATAAATTTTATAAGTTTAACGTTATTTATATATATATATATATATATATATATATATATATATATATATATATATATATTTGTTATTATTTATTATTATGTAAATTTTATTATTGTTCTAAATTATAATTTCTTAAAATAATGTATTGATTTATATTATTAAATTGAAATAATATATATATATATATTGAATTATTGACAAACAAATAATCTTATTATTAAATTTATTAAAAAAATTTATTTTAAAAAAATTTATTTTTTCTAAATTATGGCGGGCCAGCCGTCGACCGTCAACCCGCCCCTTGGCGGGGCGGGCCAAGGTCTACGACCAGTCATGACTATATCGGGCCAGCCGCCTCGCCAGCTTTTGGCGCAAAGGCGGGCGCCAAACGGGCGGCTGGCCGTTTTGCCATCCCTATCTGTAAATGTGTCCAGCCTCGTTGTTAGTTTTTCAAATTGACCTTCCATCACATCAACCATAGGCGCTTTTCTTTTTGTGCCCCAAGATGAAGAGGTTCCACCTGAACCAGTAGACGCAACAGATGGAATTGAGTGAGCACCCTCAGCGAGACCTGTCGGAACCCATGCGTGGAGGTGATCGATAAGCTCGTATCAAATCCCGCATCAAAGCCAAAGTGAAATGATCGCTCCTCCGGTGTGGGGTCCACATCAACGTTCAAGTCGATCGTTGCCCTTCGAGAACCGATATTCATTCGGGCTCGACGCGAAGTTCTTGCCATATGTCCGAGTGGCTCGATCAGCACCCCACAATTCTTCCATCAAATCATAATGTCTTATAGTTGACGAGTTTCCATTTAGTTGCAGAAGGCTTCGCCTACAAAATAATGAGAATGGTTAACACTCGTAATTGTTATGTTTTGCTATATCAACAAATGATAATTCATACAATAGTACCTTAATTAGGTCATCCCATACTTCTTGCTCAGCCACAAACCGTTTTGTGATATCATCCCAAGCGAATCCACTAAGTCCATGAAACAAATCGTGGACCTCCTGCCATCTATCCTTAAGACTTTTTTGTCGATTTTTAACATTATTTTTAGTTATACCAATTAATCCAGACTGTCTTAGGGATTCAACTATATTATTATATGCTTGGGTTGTCCAACTACCATCAACCCGATTACCCAACCTTGCCTCATCAAGCATAGCAGTCAACAACCGAAAGTCCATGTCATCAGTCCATTTTGTAAACTCGCGCACTACAGGTGACGAATTCGGTGCAATATCCTTTCCTCTGTTCATTTTAAACATATTGGAAAGATAATATATGTAATTACGATACCAACATATAATTATTATAAATAGATAATCGTAATGTATGAAAGTGATACTAGCAAAGATCTCAGTGATTTGATGAAGTCAAAGATAAAAAGGTCAACTCTGCAACAGTCAAACAAGTCACTCAGAAGAATGGAGCTGAAGACTTAGTGTGTCTTATCAGAAAGCTTAGGTAAAACCACTTTACCTTTTTCCACTGCATGAAGCTCCTTCACTCAATTTGCAAAATGCCTCAAAAATAGTTTTAAACAAATCAAACAAAAGCATTTTGACAAAGAACTTTCTTAACAATGTTTTTAACTGATATAGTTTTAAAAGAAACAATTAAAATCACTTAGAATACGTAAAGAAGTGTTTTTACAGTATTTTAATCGATACAAACTTCTTTTAATCGATTAAAACCCTTTTATGACCGATTAGAATTCGAATATGACAGGTCAGAATGAAATATAATCGACCAGACTTTAAAAATGAGCGATCAGATATATTTTAATCGATTAAAACCACTTTGGAAGTCAGGATGATCGATTAGAATGAAATTATGACCGATCAGAGTTGGTTATGATCGATCAAAATTGAATTATGACCGATCAGACTTATTTCAATCGATTAAAACGAACTTTCAATCGATTAAAAAAACTTGAAAAGTTATGTACAGATTTTCAATCGATTAAAACGACTTTATATCAGCTAAAATAACTTAGGAAAATTTTATAAGAAGGTTTTTAAGCAAATCAATCGATTAAAACGCGAATCAATCGATTGAATCACTCTCGAGAAAATGTTTGTAAAATGTTTTAAGCTGATATAAACATGGTTGTATAAACTAAAAACATTCTGTTAAAGAAACAAGAATGCATTAATGGGTTGAAAGGACTTTTAACAGATTATAACGGCTATTTCAACAGATTAAAACAAACTTTCAACAGATTAATTAATGCAGCAGATTTGAAAATTCTCTTTAAAAACAGTTTTGCTTTAAAAACAGTTTTGCTTGAAACTTTTAAACTTTTATATAATACAATAACTTTCCCTATCAGTACTGTAACTAGAGAAGAAAGAATAAGTCCTGTAACTTCTATCACTGTGAACACGTGAAGTTGGTTGTACGGCCGTGACCACTTGCATGTACGACCCGTGACTTCGTTCATGACTTACCTCCTTACGTCGTGTTTAGAATATATAATTTGT